GAGCCCTATTCAAGCCTACCCTCTTCCCCACATTCCTCATCCCAGACTCTGCAAGCAAGTATAAGATATAATCAGTACCTTGCTGTTTAACTGCTGAATTCTGAGCTCTTTTTGGTGCAGTTCTTTCAGGCTGTCACTTAGCTGGGCCTGGAGATGTTTTGTCTCTGTTTCTAGGCTTGAAAAGTCCCCTCTCAAAACTTCTGAAGAAATCTGCCAGGGAAAGAACAATGAAAAATATACTGCACCTGTGACAACCCACTCATATCAGTCCTCTCTGTTTAGTATTCCAAGGTCAAAGCCCAAAATTATTCCTAGGCCTGGAACTTGATCTGTTCAAGCAAAACAGCAAATGGGGAATAAACAGAAATATCCTAAAAGCCATCTGAAAATCCAAACAATTAGGAAAGATCACTGAACTTGCACATATGATGGGTCCTTCTCAAAAGCTGTCTTAAAGCTGTCTACAATACAGGAAGGGAAAAAAAGCGTATGAATGAGGATAAGAAAAACAAACAAAAAAACCAAAGCAATGTTCACACTGCTCTCATTCAACACAGACTAAAAGGTTAGCATTGAAGCATTCTCCTGGAGAGCATCACATGCACATTGTTCTAGCTTTTTCTTTGCATATATGCACGTGTGTGTCAAAGGGTTAAGGGGAGATTTCCTCCCTCCTCCACTGACACGAAAGCTTCTCACTGGAGTCACTGTGGGCAGGAGAGTTCTTTCCTTACTCATAATGGTATTGTACATGCAGCAGGCAAGCGTCCTTCCCTAGACCAACCAAAATATTCAGCATATTCCACTCCACTGTTAGGAGTGATACAGGGGAAAGAAGGCAGAAAGTACAATGTTCAACACTCAGCTTTTCTGGGCTTGAGTCAGGATTGTAGATCCCTGTCATGGTAAAAACAGCAATAAAAATTCAATAAGAAACTTAAAAATTAGAATGTGACATTAAAAGGAGAACTACAGCGGAAGATCTTTGATTCAAACACAGTATAAGAGGCAATTCTAAAATAGCCAGAAAGACCTGAGAAGTTCCATACTGCTTAGAAGGACCTAAGGTGCCTAGGAGCCCCTGTCTCTCTCACTACCTTTCTTGAAACATTAGGAACCATGAACTAAGGGAAGAGCACATATGGGTATGCCAGAGATTTCTAAAGGTTTTCAATGATCCAAGTTGGATTGTTGGTGTAGTCCTTGGAGGCCACGCAACAAAATCCGACACTGCAGTCTGTACGAGCTCAATACAAGCAACACATGCTACTTTGGCTGAATTTCAAGCCTCACATTTCCATGCAATAAAGAATCTGTGTATTTCCACCCACCTTCGTTTGGTACTGCTCCTCTACGATTTGAGACTTGCTGAGGGGCAATCTCATTTCTTGCATGATCCTTTGTAAATGGCTTAGTTGCTTGTCTTTTTCTGCTATAACCATCAGGTACTGCTCCTTTATGCTGCTGTTCTGCTTTTCCCAGGTAGCTTTCTCTTGTCTGCCCAGTACGACACAAAGGAAATTACCAGGAAGTTACCAGTATCACTTATGATATCCAGGTATCCAGCTCAGAATGAGGTGAGGATGATTCTATTTGCTATCATTACCCCATGCCAGAAAAGAAATTTTATAAATAAACCAAAACAAAACAACCCACTTAAGTACAGGAACCTTAAAAGCAGGTTTAAGGAAGTATTCTGTATTTGGCTCAACGCTGCAGATTGTTCAATGCTTACACTTTTGGTGTTCCTGGACATTGGTTTGATCTTGCTGTACAGAGAGTTTTGTCAAGCAAGTCATTGACAATACCACTTGTCATCATAATATTAATCACTGCCTCAGTCAAATATGCACCAGAACCATAGCATTGATCCCAACGTGCAAACTTGAGGCCTTAGCTTCATTTACACTGTAGAAGTTAGACAGGAAATAAATCTCTTTTTCTTTTATCAGGAGATAAATAAAATTTGTAAGCTGCTTCAAACTTTATGAGATCTGAAGTGTTAGTTTGAGGGTCAGACTGAGGACAGGGGGAGTGGGAAGGAGCACTGTAAGTTTTTATATCACTTTGGACAAAGATAAGCCATACATCTTTCCACAAAAAAACTCCACCTATTTCACTTCAGGTTCAGTCATTCTTAGATGGATCTCTGAAGTACCTAAAAGGATTTTTTCCCCATTTTTAGAACAAGATATTTGTCTGACTAGTTTTAGTCCAGCTGGAGATGACAGTTTACTAGACTTGAATTACAGACTTTTTTAAAAATAGAAGACATAAAGCAAGTGAAACAAAGGATTAGACAGTCATACAAAATAAGTATTTTCTAAACAATTATATCAGTGGGATAATAAAGGGTGTTCATCATCAGCTTGCAATGGAGAGTTCTGTAATTATATACATAAGCTCCAATACAAGAAACAGCCTAAGTTTCCTCTCAAACAGATGATATTGGCCACCAGTGATGAAGGAAATAAAAATTACAAGGTCATCGATCTATTTCACACAGGCATTTCCTTCCAACATATTGGGCTGTAATCCTTCACCCTAAGTCTGAGGCAAAAGCTGAACAAGGGAAACATGTGCCCACTGCTGAACAGGGCAAAGTGATTTAGTAACAGCTGACATGGGTAAGGCTGAGGTTCTCAGTGCTTTCTTTGCCTTCTGCCCACAGTTGCTCTTTGAATGAAAGAAATGGCACATTTGCATCTCTGAGACAGTGAGAAGACAGACAATTCTCACCTAAACTGCTGGAGCTCCTGCTGGTAGAAAACACATTCTTGCTTCAGCTGTTCTTGGAGACGCTGCTGTTTATCTGCATCTTGCTGATATTCCTGCAGTCGTGCTTTTAAACGAGAATTTTCAGCTGATTCTACCCCGACTAGTATGTATTGCTGCTGCAGATTCTTCAGCTCTCTTACCTTTAATGGGAAATACCAGAGTGTGTGACAACTGAGCAAGCAGCTAGGTTTACTACTTACAAATGTTGAAGAGCATTTCTCACTGTGACATCTGGAGGAAAAAAAGTCACATTCAGATGACAGAGACACTAGAAACTGAATAAGTGATTACAGCAGTCTGGTAAAAACTGCTGAGAAAAAAAACCTCAGAGAATTCTATTGTTAATGAGAGTAGTGAGTTTTGAGACCTTCCATGAAGATCTGACATACATTAACAAAAAGACCTTGGACTATGATATTAATTCCCTTAATCAGAGGAAGACAAAGTGAGACAGAAAGACCCGGTTAAGAATAACTCCTGAAATTGGTATTTACTGTAAACCAGGGAACTGAGGAACTAAAATCTTTTTGACAGTCTACTCAGACTGTAGTTAGAGATAAGTTGTCATTACACATCCATCACTTCAATCAGTTTTCGAAGACTCGAAGACCAGAAGATGTGACTGACTCTGGAGACAGGGAAGTACTTAATGAGTCAGGAGATCCCTCTACTAAGGATGTATCTTAGTATTAGCAGTGCTACACAGATATGCAAGTTCAACAAAAGAGCAGTAGAGGAGACATAAATCTACAAATAACTGAGATATAAAATGGACAAGAAGGAAGATGTGTTTAAGACAGTACCACAAAGTCTATTGTGACTTAACAGAAGGGAAAACTAAGACAGACTAAGTGATGGTGGAAAATGATTGTAAAAGTCTGTTATCTGACCAGCAACTAGAACTCTGAAACTCGCTGAACC